AAAGAGTACTGATAGCTACACAGAGACAGGCCGATAAAATCAAGAAACAGTGTAAGTCAGAAGGCAAACAACAAACATGATCAAAACCAACAGTTATAATGATAAAATCATAAGTGAAAATAAGCAATCAGACTAAAGTCATTTCTCTGATCTCCAATTCTGGCCTCTCCCCTTTGTTTTTTGTTGCAGCGTAGGGGTGGGGCTTTGTCTCCTGTTCTGCACCGTTGCCTTAGGAACTGAGGTAAAGTTTGTTGATAGGTGGGTGGGGCAATGGAAGTCTCTGCCTGGAGAATGGCGAGGCAGTTTATGCAGATCTGTTTTTCTCCACTTGTCTGGGTCCCCCAGCTTGGGGTCTCATGCTGAGTGCCTCAGCCAGAGTGGGTCCAGAGTTCCAGAACTCCAAAACTCCAAAGGGCAGGCAGCGAGTGGTGAGAGTGGCCCTGGGCCCCCCACAGGGTACTTCAGCCAGGAATGGGACCGGTGTCTCTGAGGGTGGGCACCCAGAGCCTCCTTGAGTGACCGGCAGCTTGGTGCCAGGTGCTGGGCTGGAGACGATGTAGCCAGGGAGGGAGTTGGGAGGGGGCTGGGACCCAAGACTCCCATGCACACTTGGAACAGCAGCAGCAGGGACCCTGCGTGGGACCAAAGGTCCCCAGGTTTCACACCAGTGCGGCTGGTGGTAGGCTGGGGGATGGGGGAAGGGAAGTAAGAGTCTTTTTGGGAACTCACATTCAGAGAATCTCACAAGTTCACCTATGCCGTCGCCATCTTGTTCCCATCTCGGAAAAACATTTTTAAATGGACGAAGGATTTGACTAGACATTTCTCCAGAGAAAGTATATAAATGGCCAATAAGTACATAAAAGATGCTCAATATTACTAATTATCAGAGACATGCAAATCAAAACTATGAGTCAATGTTTCACACCCATTAGAAAGGTTACTATCAAAAAATAACAACAAAAACATCAGTGTTGGAGAGTATGTGGAGAAATTGTAATTCTTGTGCACTGTTCGTGGAAATGTAAAATAATACAGCTCCTGTGGAAAAAGTGTGGCAGTTCCACAAAAAGTAAAAATAGAATTACCATATGATCCTGCAATTCCACTTCTAAGTATATGCCTCAAAGAATGGAAACCAAGGTCTCAGAGAGATATTTGTACATTCATGTTCTTAACAGTACTGTACTATTCACAGTAACTAAGATGTGGAAGCCAGCACAAGTGCCCATTAACAGAAAATTAGATAAGCAAAATGTGATACATGCATACAATGAGATATCATTCAGCTTTTAAAAGAAAGGAAGATATGACATAAGCTACAAAAGGAATGAAACTTTAGGATATTATGCTAAGTGAAATAAGTTAAATGCAAAATTTAGCTCTATGAATCCACTTATCTGAGGTATTTAGATTAATCAAAATTATAAAGACAGAAAACAGAATAGTGGTTGCCAGTGACTTGAATGAAGAGGAAATGAGGAGATAAGGCTTAATGGGTGTAGAGTGTCAGTATTTGAAGATGAAAATAGTTCCAGTGAAGGATGATGTGATGGTAGAACAATATTATGAATGTATTTAATATGATAAAATTGAACACATAAAAGTGTTAACGTGCTAAATTTTGCATGCATTGGGAAAAAATGGAAAGAAAAGGAAAAAAAAGTGGATGGAAATGTCAGTGTGAAAGTCATGAACAGAGGTTTTAGAGGCATGAATGTTTTGCTCATTCTCTCAAACAACCATGAGAATCACCTGTTCTAGATGCTAACTACTCTATTAGTCTGGATTCCAGAATGAGTAAACATATAAAGCCAATTCAAGCCAAGCCCAGACTAGTCCATTTGATCTTAGCTCTCACATAATGAAAGCAATAAATAAATGTTTGTGGTTGTGAATTACTGAACTAAGATTGTTACCTCAACAATCTTGATTAATACCAATATTTCCTGCCATAAATGTTTCTGAGCTGTTTCAATATTAGATTTGGGATATCTTTCCACCTCTGTGTATTCATGCAAGATTCTTTTTAAATCCAAGTTTCTCACAAATATCAGGAAGGAAGATAACTGCATCTTTCATAAAGCTTCTACTACTATTAAAACCAACTGTTGTCAATCCAACCCCAGACTCCCACTGACGACTTTACATAATATAAACAAAATAATTGTACAATTGCCCTTTCATATTTCTTTTTGGATCAATTTTAATCTATTTCCATTTGTAAACCCTTGGGCAGGGAGATAACATATCTTTGTAATGAATTGGTGCTAAGCCTTACACATGGCTTTTCAATACTTTCTTTATTCAGAAGTAAATTTATCTCACCATCTGTTGCCACCCACTTCATTCAGAACATATTACTGGCCGAATTTCAGATAAATGAGTTACTACCTGCGTGTCTATATCTAGGCATTTACCTTCACTCTAGTCTGGACATTTTATGAAGTACATTGGATCCCTATTATATATCAGAAGTTTTATCTTTTGTTCTGATATAATACCATGAATAATGAGGCTTCCACATTTTCAGCTGAAAGGAATGAGAACTCATAAATTGGATTAGTGAGCAGATAGTTTAATTTTTTTCATTTTAGCAGTTTTTACTGGAAGTTGTATATAAGATCACTTTATTCTTGCATCTTCTCAATGGTTTCTTCCTTGTATTTGCCCTTTTCATTTCCTACTTGGCGAGATTTGGCTTTCCGTTCAAGGATCTTTTTTGCGGTCTTTATCCAGTTCTAGTCTAGTAATAACCACCTTGCTGAGGTGAATGCCCACATGGACAGTCGTGCCATTAGCCGTTCCCACTGCACCCATTCAATGTAGATGACATATTTCTTCCTCTAAACCTGGACTACTTTGCCAATTTGCTGACCTTTATAGTGTCCCTTCACAACCTGAACTTCATCATCATTTTGGATGGCATGGATCAAACCTTGTACTTCTGCTTCAGCTCTTTGGAGAGAGGGAAAGACATAATCTTCAAGCAAATGTGGAAAGGTGCATTGAAATGTCTTTTGCAGTTCTTGCTTTGGTGGGAAGTCACAAAGGGATTGAACTTCATTTTGGCCACTGCCGCTTTGTCAATGGCTGCAAAAGGAGAAAGGAAAATAGTTTAATGTTGTTGTTGTTGTTGTTTTTGAGTTGGAGTCTCACTCTGTCACCCAGACTGGAGTGCAGTGGCCGCTCCTGGCCACCGCAGCCTTGACTTGCTGGTCTCTGGCAATCCTCCTGCCTCAGCCTTCCAAGTAGCTGGAACTACAGGTGCGTGCTACCACGCCCGGCTAATTTTTTGATTTACTGTAGAGATGACGTCTTGCCTGCCCAGGTGGGCCTCGAACCTGCGGGCTCAGGCAATTCACTCACCTCAGCCTCCCAAAGGCGTGGGATTACAGGCTGAGCCACCAAGCCTGGCTAATAGTTTAATTTTAAAGGAAGTTTAATTTGTTTTTCTAGAGACATAAGAAACTGCCAAGTTAAAAAAGACAAAAACATTGTTTTAGAATTTCAGTGAAATTTTGAAGGACCAAATGAGCGAAAAGATGATTGGATAAAGACTATATGTATAAAAGCTGTGCTTGGGTTGTTGACAGACTTTTAAAAATGGTTCGCAACTGAAATTCTTTAAAATTTAGACCTGGGATTTTACCGTATCTGAATATTTTATTTTTCTTTCTTTATTTCTTTGTTTCTTTTCATTGCTTTTCTTTTTTGAATAAACTTATTTAAATTATCTTTGGCTTTGAATCTAGCAAATTGTGTTCCCATCTGGAATACATTCAGATCTATTCTACTCTTTGTTTAGAATAATGTAGGCAATAGGAGCATCATCCATGCAGTGTCCAAATAAAACCCAGACCAGGTTAAGGATATTTATTTATATTATCCCAAGATCTCACCAGATGTGCAATGCTGCGATTCTATAATCACCTCTGGTTTAGCTCCTAACTATATCTTAGAAACAAAACAAAACAAAACAAAACTTTGCAACCAGGAAGATTCCATTGAACTCAGAAAATCTTTTTCAGCTATTGCCTTTCCAACTCTCTTACCTAAATTATAGGAATTATATTCAATATCATCAAAGTGGGATAAACAACAACAGGGATAATTATAAAATATTCTTATTATTTTAACTTATAAAAGACGCACCAGGCTAAAAATCCACTCTCAAAATACAAATATGTTTGTTTAAACAATGATGTTAGTAAAAGATTATAAAAATAAAAACAAATTGAATTCTTATGCAAATGAAACATCACTCTAGTGACCCTTTCTATTAATGATAAAAATTAAAACTTGTCTAGACAGAGACCCTTCTAGTGCTATACATGGGAGCCTGCTTCTATGAACTGAGTCAGAGAAGTGGTTTCCACCAATCAGGAGGAACTCGCGATGAGCTTTCATGGCCCCTGTGTCCCTATTCTATAATCTCTTAGGCACCATCAGTCTGTGCTTTAAAGAGTTGTCCATTGTGCAGAGGTTTTTGAGGCTGTCATGGATACCTTGTGAAAATGAGAGTTAACTGCCCTGGAAGCTCCAGGGTCTATTAAGGCAGTTATTTGACCAAAATGGTGGTCATAGTGGTTTTAAGGGAATAGAACCTCTGTCCTCCATGTAGTAGAGATCTTTCAGATGGATAGTTTAAATGATATGCCACTGCATTCCACTCACTGAACGTGTTTCTTTTCTTTCTTCTTCTTCTTTTTTTTTGTTGTTGTTGCTGTTTAAGCTGGGGTAATTTCTTGTTCAAAGGACATTTTTACTGACTTCATTATTACCAGTTGTGTAATACATAAACCTAACTATTTAGTCTTCCTGGAGATTAAATGTGCTTATTAATGTTCTACAATACATTTTTTATTGCTTAAGTCTGCTTAAATCAGACAGAGTAGAACTTATTGTTTGCAAACCAGAACCTTGACCTATGCAGTACTCTGTCTTATACTTGATAGTCCCAAAATAATTCCAGAAATTTGTTTAAAATAATGTTCCTTTGAATAAAGGAGGATGAATGATTTCTGCAAAGAGCTCAAAATTTGTGTAAGGAAACTAGTCAGACACAGCACTCTAGTATATAGACATAGTATCAAAAAGATGCCGAAGATTGTCACTTATTGCAAATGTCTACACCAGTTATGTCCTGAACAGGACTATTGTACAAAGCATTGCACTATATCAGGAAGCTGATATAAAGAGAGAAAATAGAGCTACCCAGAGGTATCAGTATCTATGTATGGTAAAGAACTCTGGACTGGGTTTCAAGAAGTTTGGAATCACTTCTTTTAGGAACTAACTCTGCCTCTGAGCAAATTGCTTAACTCAGCTCAATGTAGTGGTTGAATTAAATTATTGCAAAGACCACTATGAACTATAAATCTCCACAATCTAAAAAGAAGGAGGTACAGTGTACTGTATATCAGGGAAGATAGAGCTATAGAAGTGAATGTTTCTACATTATGTCTACATACATTATTCTTTATCCATATGTTTTCATGTGTTATGTGCACTCATATTATAAATTTTTCCTCAATTTGAATTTTGAGAATAAGGCTAAGAAGAAAAATAGGGGAAGTAGTAGTAAGCAATGTTGTTTTCATTTCAATCATAAAATCTCAACTTTTTTGAAAATATCTTTATCTTGTTTTATTTGCTATGGACATGCAATACAGTGTGATATTTCAATATATGTACACATTGTGTAATAATCAAGGCAGGATAATTTGCATATTCATCATCTCAAACACCTGTCATTTTTTGGTGTGGTCAGAACATTTAAAATCTTCTTGCTAGCTATTTTGAAATATTTAACACATTATTGTTAACTATAGACATGCTACTGTGCAGTAGACCTCCAGAATTTATTTCCCTTATCTAACTGTAACTTTGTACATTTGACCAATTTCTTCCTATGTCCTTCTTCCTCCTATCCTCCTCATCCTCTGGCAGCCACCATTCTGCTCTCTACTTCAATGAGGTCAGTTTTCTAAGATTCCACATATGGGTAAAATCGTGTGATATTTGACTTGTGCTTGGCTTATTTCACTTAACATAATAACCTTCAGGTTCATCCATGTTGTGGCAAATAAAAGGATGTTATCCCTTTTATAACTGAATAGTATTCGATCTTGTATATGTATATCACATTTTTTTCAGGTGTTCAGGCAAAACATGCTCCCATCCTTTCTCTCTTGTTTTAAAATTATAGATTCAAGAGGTACACGTGCAGGTTTGTTAACATGGATTTATTGCATAATGGTGAGGCTTGGACTTCTAGTGTGACCATTGCCTAAATAGTGAATATGGTATCCAATAGGTAACTTTTTGAACCTCATACACTTCCTGCTGCCCCCTCTTTTGGAGTTTCCAGTGTCTATATGCCCATGTACACCCACTGAAAATATGGAGTATTTCATTTTCTATTTCCAAATTATTTCATTTAGGATAATGGCCTCTGGCTTCATTCATGTTGCTGCAAAAGATGTGGTTTTATCCTTTTGTATGACTGTGTAGAATTCCATGGTGTATATATACCACATTTATTTAGCCAATCATCTGTTGAGGGTCACTTAGGTTGATTTTATGACTTTGCTCTTGTGACTAGTGCTGCAATAAACATACAAACACAGGTGTCTTTTTGATATAACAGTTTTTTTCCTTTGGGTAGATACCTAGTAGTGGGATTGTTGGGTAGAATATTAATTCTATTTTTAGTTCTTTGAGAAATCTTCATGCTGTTTTTCATGGAGGTTGTACTAATCTACATTTTCACCAACAGTATATGTATTCCCTTTTCTTAACATCCTTGACAATGTCTATTGTTTTTTGACATTTTAATTATAGTCGTTCTGACTGATGTAAGATGGTATCTCATCATGATTTTAATGTGCATTTATCTGTTGATTCATGATGTTGAGCAGTTTTTCATATGTTTTTGGCCACTTGTATGTCTTCTCTTGAGAAATGTCTGTTCATACTGTTTGTCCACTTTTTAATAGTTTTATTTTTTTTTCTGGTTGAGTTGTTTGAGTTCCTTGTAAATTCTGGATATTAGTCCTTTGTTGGATGCATAGTTTGCAAATATTTTCTCCCATTCCGTATGTTATCTGTATATGTGGTTGATGATTTCTTTTACTATGCAAACGCTTTTTAGTTTAATTAAGTCCCATTTATCTATTTTGGTTTTGTTGTATTTGCTTTTCATGTCTAGGTCATAAATTATTTGCTGAAGCCAATGTCCTTAAGAGTTTTTTTCTAAGATTTTTATATTTTCAGGTTTTGTTTTTAAGTCTTTCACCCATCTTGAATTGATTTTTGTATACAATGAGACATAGGGATCCAGCTTTATCCATTCTTCATATGGATGTCCAATTTTCCCAGCACAATTTTTTGAATAGGGAGTTTTTTCCCCATTGCAAATTATTGTCTACTTGGTCAAAAATCAGGCACTTGTAGGTATGTGGCTTTATTTCTGGTTTCTCTATTCTATTCCATTGATTTATGTGCCATATTTCAAAAATCCATTCATGTATTGATAGACTCTTAGATTGATTCCACATTTGGACTATTGTGAATAGTGCTACAATAAACGTGAAAGTGCAGATATTTCTTTGACATTTTGATTTGTTTCCTCTGGATATGTACCCAGTAGTGGACTTGTTGGATCATACAGTAGTTATATTTCTAATTTTTTGAAAAGGCTCCATACTATTTGTTGTCCACAATACCTATACTAAGTTACATTTCCATCAACAGTATTTGAGTTTTTCTTTCTCTGCATCCTCACCAGCATTTTTCTTTTCTTTTCTTTTCTTTTTTTTTTTTTGCCTTTTTGATAATAACCCATCTAACTGGGGAGAAATGGTATCTCATTTTGGTTTTAATTTGAATTTCCCTGATGATTAGTGATGTTGAACATTTTTTCATATACCTGTTGGCCATTTTTGTCTTCCTTTAGAAGATATATGTCTTCTTATATGTCTTCTTTGAGATATTTTCCCACTTTTTTATTAGGTTGTTTTCTTGCTATTGAGTTGTTTGAGATTTTATATAATTTGGTTATTA